AGGTCACTTCAACTACAAAAATATTTTAACAACGAAAATTTCCCCACCTACAGTATGTGACCAACTAACCATACATGTACATGTGTACTTTATGATTCATTAAGTATACACTATGTTTTATAGTATTGTTTAATTACTGTGCAAGTCTTAAAATGTTTCAAATTCATACAATGTATTGTACATGTATTGTACATGTATGGTACATGTATGGCACATGTATGTGTACTATAATTTTTATAATTTTATCTTCAACTTTCTTCCTTTCATTAGTTACTAATAATGGAGTCATTCTTTGATCGAGAGGTTAAGAGGTTGGATTTTGTTAGTGAGAGAAACAGAATGAGAGAAATAGAAAAGAAAGCACTTGATGAGAAGAAAGCTTCAGCTCATGATGATGAACAAGAAGTAAAATAATTAACAGATTTAAAATAATTGATACACCTAACATCAAGAGTGCATTGACATAATTAGATTGTCTATAATATGCTCTCATTTTTTTAAGTACTGATGTTTTTTTCCAGGAAAAGAAGAATGAACTTCAAAAAGATGATGAAGAAAAATATGAACTGGTGAGTGATAGGAATTTAGGAATAGCCTGCATGTGAGACTTTTTTCTTCTTTTCCTCTTCCTCCATTTGTTTGTAGGAGTATAGAGATTATCTAAAGTTGGAACAATCATTATTGATTGAACTAGGACTGAGACAACCAGCAGGAGATGAAAACTGAGAGATAGAGTATTACATAGAGTCGATAGTCTAATGAATTTGATTTCATGATAATGAATAATAATAATTATTGCAAGCTACAGTATAGCTTTTTGCATTGGGTGCTATTATAGGCTAGCTAGCTAGGGGCGTGTATGTAGTATCTATGGTACGGTGAGACTACTAGCGCTAGCTCGCCCGATTAGGTGAGGCTGGTTTTGCAAGAAGCATAATCTACTATGGCATCTAAAAGTGAGGGCCACTATTCTCTTCCCTTTGTATCTCTTTCATTCATTCTTTGTCTCTCTTACTCTCTCACTTTACTCCTCTGTATCCTGTCCTTATTCTAACTCATCACTATATTACTGTTACTCTGTTACTGGTACCTCTTGTTCTCTATAGACTATCAACCAGTGAAGAGAAGCAGTCATTCCACAGTAAAGGTAGGAGACTACCTATATATGTGGGGTGGGTACGGGTCTGGAGTAGACTATGATGTGATGGAGGTGTATCACTTACCAACTGGTGCTTGGGACCAGAAACCTACTACTGGTACCCCACCACCAGGTACCAGGGCCTACTCAATCATGGCTATTGGGAAGGACATATATTATTTCGGTGGACGTGGTGTTGGTAGTTATCAAAACAGCTTACATTGTTTCAATGTGGATTCATTCAAGTGGAGGGAACTCTCTGCTTCTTGTTCAGATCGTGATCCAATGAAGAAGGGCTACTGTGGAATAATATCAGTTCATTTTGACAGTGAACACTATCTCGTAATAATCGGAGGACTGGGATCATCTGCCAAGACTCCAAAGCAACCTGATGCTCAGTATTCAGCTGATGGTAGATGTAATGAGATACATTATTACAGGATTTCATCAGGTCAGTAATTCTTATCATTGATACACAATAGTTGATGAGTATTTCAAAGTGAATAATTTATATTAATGTACATAAAACAGATTGTTAATAATTAAGTGTGTTTGTTAGTGTGTCTCTGTGTGTCATGTGTTTGTGTGTGATGGTGACGTGTGTCTATATGTGACGTGTGTGTGTGTACTAATACATACATTATGATGTGTCTGTGTATGATAGTGCATATAATGTATGTGAGAATTTATGAATGTATGACGTGTGTATGTGACGTGTATCTATAATGTGCATGTTATGTGTGTGTGAGTATTATCATGTATCTGTGTGTGTGTGATGTTTGTATATGTGCATGTATCTATACATAAGCTAATATGACATGAGTGTGTGTGTGTGTAGGTTCATGTTATTTATTATCATTTTTAATAAAGTTCTGTATCACATGAGTCACAAATTAGCCACATACAATGTTCCATGAGTTTTGTATAATTATTCATTAACAATCATAACTGACATGTACCAGAATAGATTAGTAATCTTGAAATAAGGAGACCCCCTGGACCTCTCCTTCATGTGTACAGGTGTGGTGTGTGTGATGGTATGTGTATCCATACATGAGTGCATCTGTGTGTGTGTGTGTTTGTGTATCATGTGATAGTGATGTGTGTCTATGCATGATGTGTATGTATAAATAATAATGTACACACATATACACATACATATGTATGATGAATGTGTATAATGTATGTGTGTGTATGTGGTAAGTAAGTGTACATGAATGTTTGTACATTATTATTAGATCAATGGATATCTCCTGTTGTTACTGGAGACAGACCACCTCCTATTGAAGACTTCACTCTAACACCAGTTACTAATAACACTGCGGTAATGTTTGGAGGCAATACTGATAATAGAGTCAGTAATAAACTGTATATGATAAGTTTCACTAAGACATCAGTGGTGAGTTAATACTGTAGGATGGGTTTTGATTGTGAGATTCTTTTGAATTGATTATTTATATATTTATTTTATTACATTGATGTTATTATTCTTTCAGGATATATTAGAAGTACCTAATCCTGGAGGATCAGCTCTTCCATTTTTAAGGTTTTTTATTTACTTGTTAATAATATAATCATCAAGCTAATCTACAGTATGTAACCTAGAATCATAACCTATCACAAAAATACATAAGACCAGTGTTGTCCTTAAAGCACATTTTGCGCGTTTTACACATTAACCGGAAGTGCACACACACTGGACTACGTGTGGGCATGTCAATAACACACCCTTTTAATTACAAAAATCAGGAGACCTATACAGGTGGTTAACAAAGCATGACAAGCCAAAGTAAACTAGGGGAAGGACTTAAACTTCTTATGTAAACAGAGGGAAGGATTGTGGTGAGCCAAGTAGTAAGAAGAGGAAATTAGAGTACAAGTCTGCGTGGGAGGAAGGTAGGCCTGGCTTTACTTTGATGATAATGAAGATGGAATATTTTGTAAGCTGTGTAAGAAATGGGAGAGAAAGCACAGGAGTGGCAAGCCAGTTTGGAATCAAGTGCCATGCATTTGCATTAGATCAAACTCTGTTTTAAGACATGAGCAATCAGACTAGCATAAAGAAGCAGTAGAATTAGAAAAGGATAAGCATCAGAGTGAGAAGGATGGAGGCATTGTTCAGTTATATTATAACAATGAACAATAAATAGTAATTTTTTGTCATTGTAAGTAAAATGGGCCGGAATAGAGGTGTGGTCAATGACTATTAATTAATCAATGGGTGTGGCTGCGCTCTTTACTAAATTTCTGGGGGAAACACTGCATAAGACATTTCACAATACTCTCCGTCTTACTACATATTCCATTGCTAAGATTACAATAATATGAAACCTATACAGATGTAAACGGCACCTACTACTGCATGATAAAACTACTGATCAAGGAGCTGCAATGAAACATTAAGAAATTAATTTAGTTTCAACAATCTAAATCCAGAATTGCCTTTAATTATATTTCACATTCCAATATCAAGCAAAAGTATTGTTGAAACAGCAAATCATTTCCAGCTGTAATTACCTGTAAAGCATAGTAATAGAAACATATCAAAAGCAAGCAGTGTAAACTCACAGGCTAAAACAATAGCACTTACCAATCACATCAAACCTCACTCTTTAACACCACATTGAAGTCCTTGTGCCAAGTACATAAGTACCTATAAAAAGTATGTATATGACATACTAACTAATAATGATAATGGTAGCATCTACAATGTTTCTGATTGGATCATACATGGCATGTATTTTAGACATAATATTGCTTACTAATGCTATCCTCATTTAAGATACTTTCATGACCTGCTTAATATAAAATTACATTGTGCACATAAAGAATTTCCAATGTGCAAACAATATTTTTTGTTAATGTGAACATGCACATATTTACAACAATCATCAACAACAGATGTGCAACATCAGCTGGCAAGCATGTAATATGCGCTCAGCATTGATGGCAGCATCATTCAAATGCGCAACATCAGCCGGCAAGCATTAACTTAATAATGCGCACAGCATTGATGGCAGCATTATGCGCAACATCAGCTGGCAAGCATTTACATATATGTAATGTGCACAGCATTGATGGCAGCATTGACATGTATGATGATCATTAATATATGTACGAAATCACTGTTTGAATGATACTACATGTATAATGAGAACTTTTATTGTTACTCTAAATTTTACTTGTCCTTCGAAATTTGTCAGCAGTGCCCTTGATCCATAAGCACCTGATATTTGTTATAAACATGTAGTCCAAGCCACAAACAAGATCGGGAATTGATAATGACAGCTTTCTCCCTTCCTAACCCTCTGTCCTACATAAATGACAGTCACACAAAATTGAATCAATGCTAAACTCTAATGAACAGTAAACCTATTTCACACCCTCTCCCTGTCCATTATAGCAACAAGTAATCAATATTCACTGTTATACATTGATTAATCCTACATCCTGAATGCAGTTTGATCACTTTATACTGAGCAAAAATGGGTGGATATGCACCTGGTTTTCGCACACACTCACATTGCACATGCAGTGAAATAAAGGTCACATTAAACAACCAATGTTTTAAAGATAATGGACCTCCCATTCACCATACCCACTTTCCATCAACAATAATTGCTTAAGAAATATTAATGGACTTAACTGCTTGGAAATGATTAGTACCAACATGCTTCAAATACAAAGCAGGTGTAGTAGTATCACAAGCAATGCCATACAACTCCTTGGTTCCATATCTAGCCCGGCCAACATAATTAGGAGTGAGTGAATATAAATATACGGTTATACCTAATAATGCTGTTAGTGTAATAATCTCTGTGTCAGTGGCCCACACATAATTTCTATACATTTTTGACTTCTTTATGTAATCATGTATGCTTGAATATCTGGTTGCACTTAATGAACTATTAAACAATTCTTCAAAGTTTGGCATGTTACTAACAATTGTTCTACGTAATTCATAATGCTGAGAGATGGACCCAGTAATGAGATATGAAAGGGCATAAAATAAACAGTTCCCATCACCAGGGACATTAAGAGTATTATTAGGAACTCTTTTATCTGACAATGGTGTTGTTGGACTGCCAGGTAAGATACTAGCAGCTGTTACAAACTTAAGGTTCAATATCTCACACCACCTTCTTTGAACTTCTTCATTAGCAGGGTAATAAACATAATCCCTTTGTCTTCTCCTTACATTATCTGGATTGGGAGGCTCTTCATAAGTAAAGATGACATCATCATCTTTTTTTGCATTACTTGTCTTTAATTTAATGCTTGAGAGTTTTATAGATACAATCAGACCACTACTACAATGGTCATTTTTTTACAACGCACTTGGTTTTATCATTTTTTGGTTTACATTTAATGTTTGAGAGTTTTATAGATACAATAAGACTACTACAACTATCCTCATCTTTGACATTAAATTTGGTTTTTAGGTCTTCTAAATTAATTGAAACAATTAATTTATCATCTGTTTTTGGGCGAGGCAATGCCAAAGCACTATTGTCAGCACTACTGTCTACATCAACTTTTCTTTTTTTGGTGCAAGGCTTATTTAAAGCATTATCATCACATATTTTACTCTTTTTGGGGCAATTAGATTTTTGTAAATCAGTACTCTTACGTTTATTGCTACTAACGGTACTGTTACTAGTACTTTGTACATGTCTTACAGACACCTTGGCATTCTTACTACAAGGTTCACCATCATCAACTATACCAGTCACTTGAATCTTTCTCTTCTTTCCTTTACTTTTCTTGATTTGAGGTAAGTCTTTTCGAAATTTACTTCTTAGCCTGTTAATTTCATAAATGCACAGATTACTAACTTTAACAGAGAGAGGATCAAATGATAATAAATGTAATCCATTTAATGTGCGTACACGAGACAATGCAACATATGCCATACCTTCCCCAAAAACATCAGTAGATAAATCAATAATGGCTGTATCTAGTAAGAGGCCCTGACAATTATGTATAGTAATAGCATAAGGAAGTATAAGGGGAAACTGTTTCCTATGTATATACAAATTCTTAGATAGCATAAATCTAGATGTAACCCTTTCTATGTCACAAGGTACATCAATATGATCAAATTTGATTGATGTACGTGTAGCATAAATACCCATTACTGTACCAATGGCACCATTAACTAATCCTACAGTCACATCAATATTACGTCTTAGCATTACTCTACAGCCTACTGCTAAAGACAATACAGTTTCTAAACCAGCTGTTTTGCTTGGTTGATCTTTTAGTTTCTCTAATTTTTTTCTTGTTTTTTGTCAAAATTATGCTGTGCTGCCACTTTCATCAACAACATCAACACATGCTAATTCTATTTTCTCAGTTTCTAGACTTTCTAACATTAATTTATTGATTTTTTGGCATGATTCTACCTTGTAAAAGAGACAAATTGGAGGATTTGTTCCATCACTTTCCAATTCCTTATATTTTTCTTGTATCAAAACCTTAAATACGCGACTCTTAAGCGTATCAATAGTTTTATCAGTCAGACTGCCATGCCTAACAGAATGGAGCATCTTAAAGAAAGTTTTGTTTCCTTTTTGTCGCTCGTTGATTGTTAGTTCATCATATTCTACTGTTTCTTTCCATATGTTAACTGCATTTGCTACTCCAAGTCTAGTTTTTACTAGTTTGTTGCTAATTTTTTTTAAATACTGGTCTACCATTAACTGGTGGCAATTGTAGGATGTCACCTACAAGTAAAATATTTTTGGATCCAAACCATTCATCAGTTCTAAATATATCTTCTAAGCGCATGTGTAAGTATGCTAGATTTAGAATGGATACCATAGATACCTGGTCTACTATTATAATTTTTAAATTTTTAAGTGTCATTTTTATTTTTTTCTGAGCTTCTTTACTCAAAGCCCAATATCCAGCTGTCTTTCCATCATGCTCCATCGGTAGCTGAAATAATTTATGTATTGTTAGTCCACCTACATTAAATGCGGCTATACCTGTTGGTGCTACTATGGCACACATAATTTTACCACTTTTTGGATGCCATATGTCATCCACTAGGCATTTTATTGCCTCTATCAAAAACAATTTACCAGTTCCACCTACACCACTAATAAACATTCTTAGCGGTTTGATATTATGTAATCTAAGTAGTCTTGAAGACTCATTCTCTAATAAGTCTTCACGTTCTTTTTGACTTATGAGATGACTCTTAATTTTATCAAAAATTCTTTTTTGATCTACATTAAGCATTGCCTCTCTTTGCACTAATGTTAAATTAGGTACATTTATGTGCATGTCAGCAATATCAGCTACTGCTTCCATTATTTCACTTAGTAATTGAGGCTCATCATCTTCCTTGTTATCAGGAAGTTCTTCTTCAGTAAAACCGGCTTTATTTCTTGCATCAACTATTTTCTTCCAATTACGTTCAGCTTCTAATAATTTCTGTAGTTTGTTGAAATGATTTTCAATGCCACGTATACATGCTTCTCTGTGATGCCTAAAGCTTCTTCCATTGTTTCTCCTTCCATTACAAGTGTGTTCTTGTCTCTAAAAGGCACAAATAAAAATATTAGCG